GTATGCCTTATAAATTTGTGTGGTAGCCTTTACAGTTTTGAAGGGTAGGATTCAAAATCTCATGAAATCAATGTAAGGGTTGTTATTGACTTGAGAGCAGGATTTGGTTCAGATTTACACTGATCTTTTGCAAAGCTGTAAGTGTTTCTGATATTCTCTAACACCAAACCAGTGAGCACACTCTGCTTCAGATAGAGGCGAACCTTTTGTGGAGTCCTTTGTGAAATGTATAAATCACTGAAAAGTACATAAAGTGCATAATTAAAAATGGTGTATACATAATGGTCATCTTTCTTCCCCTGTAAGTCAGACTGGAAACTGTCCATTGTTACAAAACTCATTCAACTGCATAAGGCCCCATAATTTCTCAGTAGAGGGCTAAGAATATTCCCCTAATCCAGCAATTTGATTGTCTGAAACCATCTCATGGTGATTTATAACAATAAGGCAGGCATGCCGCTTTTCTTCCTTCAGGATTGTTGTTAGAGTGTCTACAAGTGACATTTCAGACTTTCTATGTCTGGCAAACAGTGATATTGAATCAAATGGCATGTAATATACTACTTCCAGACCTTTGCTGCTAATATAAAATTAACCAAAGTATTTTTTCATGCTCTGAACCTGACATTTCATTTCAGCTTCTAGGAGTTATGATTTACAGTGCCACTATTTATATTTTTCTCAGCACGCCAGGAAATGAGTGGTATTGTTAGAAACATTTCCATTGTATTGTTATATTTGAATATTTGTTTTACTGAACACAGAACTTTCACATAAAAAAGACTATTAGGAATATAAAGGTGTCTTGTTCTTGGCTAACAACCTAATGTCACAGTAAAGCTGGTGAAGGCTGCTGCTAATTAGGATGTTTGGGGCAGGTACTGTCATGTACCATATGTTTCTATGGCACCGCGCACAATGAGGCCTTGACCTTAATGAGGTCTCTGACCACTATTACAGTATCTATATTGTAATATTTTAGCCTTTTTTTAGGAAGAAGTAGGGAATGTTAATAAAGATGTGAATGTTGTAAGTGGATTGCTAGTCCTAGCACAATGTTGGTACCTTTCAGTTCTAATCTGAATGATAAATTTACCTGTAAAATGCAGGGTGGAGATGGGGAGGGGTATATAGGTGCTGAAGTGCCCAGTTCCCATTCATCTTCAATGTGGCTTGGGTGCTTAGCTGCCCTTTATATCTCTGATAGGGCAGCTAAGCATCCAAGGTTTAAACCTTTGAGCTATGAACACTACAGCATAGTTACCTATGGTTATTTGTTTGTTTAAGGTTATTTGTTAGTTACTTCAGGGTTATATTTTATAAATTAGGGTGCCCCAACCCCATAGTCACCTTGGCCCCAGGTCTTGGAGTCATATATGCTCCCTTTGATTTCAGGGTACTTACAGTCTTAAAATTAAGTACTTGCATAAGAGTTTGCTGACCCAACGTTGGAAACTAGATTTCATGTCTTAGGCTCTTGTTTCTCATACTGGAAAGGGCAAGAGGTTGGAAAGGGACCACTTATTTGTTCAACTCTGATTTCATATGGTAGTTAAGGATGCTGCTGACTGGCTGTTAAGGAAATACCATTTAATCCCACTGAGAGAGGGCAATGGCTGCAGTACAGTCTTTGAGGGGAGAGGAGGTTTGGGCACTGTTGAAGGGGGAACCCAATAGGAGCGTGGGAGACCATCCCTTTCCTCATGGTTCTAAAGACCATCAATATCAACATCACCAGTAGAAAAATCAGGGGTGCCTTTGTGCTTTTTCTTTTAATGCATTTGTTTTAAACAGCTCCTTGCATTAAACCCTGTCAACCCCTGCCCCCCACAGTGTTTAGATTTCCACCAGAATATAGCAAAACATTTAAACTGGGGTGTCTTGGCACAAATAAAACTGCTTTATGAGTGCTGGGCTAATAGAGTTAAGGCTGTGTCAGTATTTCCGTTATAAATCCTATTTTCAGAATGATATGACATAGCTGTAAAAATCTGCTCCAGACTGAGACCTGGCAAACCAGATCTCTGCCCAAGAGCAAATTCTTTGTGTTCTAGGATTTCAGCAACACTTATATGTTATTAGTTACTATAAGATCATGAAGATTTCTAGAGTGATGTTAAGCAGCCATTCCAATCTGTCAGATGCAAAAAAAGAAGAAAAGGCAGGCTTTTTACTTCTCTAAAATACTGATTTATCCAATATGTTGTGAAGTGTCTTGGGTTGTTATCAGTCTAGTTAAATAGTCGATCCTAAACTATAACACCCCTGTTGGTCTTTTTCTGAGGAGATACTCTGGAAGGTAGGGCTAGGCTCCAGAATTTATTTAACTTATGTGGTTTCCATGTATTGTTTCGGCCATCTCAAGGCAATGTCATCACCAGTGTGAAGAGCTTGAAGGCCACCAGGTAGCATAGAAATGGACGTGAACCAGCAATGAATTTGTCCACAAGGGCATTTGTTGTCATTGTGAAGGCCCCATTGGTATAGGCTTGAGGTACAGTGACCCTGTCCAGTTGAACCTGCTTCAGAATGACCTGCATAGACTGGAGAAATACTCCATAGTCAATCAGATGAGATTTAACAAAGATAAGTGCAAAGTCCTGCACCTGTGATGAAATGACTGCATGCACAAATACAGACTGGGGAATGAGTGGCTGGACTGCAGTACTGCAAAGAAGGACCTGGGGGTTATGGTTGACCCATAAGCCAAATATGAGCCAAAAGTGTGCTCTTGTTTAAAAAAAAAAAGCCAACAGTACACTGGGTTGTATTAACAATGGTGTCACTTGGAAATCAAGGGAAGTGATTCTTCTGCTGTCTTCAGCACTGGTGAGGCCTCACCTGGAGTAGTGAGTCCAGTTTTGGGTCTTTACTTCAAGGAGGATGTGGACAGTTTGGAAGGAGTCCAGCACAGAGCAACAGATAAGGATCAGGGGTCTGGGGGCCACAGTCAATGAAGAAAGGCTAAAAGAGCTAAGGTAATTTAGTCTGGAGAAGAGGAGCATGCAAGGGGGATTTCATAAGTCTTCACATACTTGCACAGTGATTATAGAGAGGCTGAAGATGGCTTTTTTCTGTGGCCAAGGGGAGCTAAAGTAGGAGCAATGACCTCAAGCTACAGCAGGGGAAATTTAGGTTGGAGATTAGGAGGACCTTTCTGACTATGAGGGTTGTCAAGCATTGGAAAAGGCTGCCTAGAGAAGTTGTGGAACATCCATCCTTGGCAGTTTTCAGGAGCAGGTTGGACAGACGCTTGGCTAGAATGACTTAGTTAGAGAAGATCCTGCCTTTAGCAGAGAGCTGGATTTAGATACCCTTGCAAGGTTCCTTACAGCCTACGTTCCTGTGATCCTATGACCCCCTGTGTAAGAGGGAATGCATTTGTACCAAATTACACCAGACCACATGGTGATGTCCCAGTGAGGCTAAATCAAGGTAACAAATCCTTATCTGGCCAGATTCTCCCCTCTTTATGATGCGGGGAGAGGATGAAAGGCAATCTTATTGGCTGTATCATTTGAAGTTAGTATCATAATTTTTTCCCCTTCCAACCATTGAAGTCCACAGTGATAACTGGCACATAGAGAGTTTGTCTAATACAATTTTAAAAGGTTTAGAAGCCATCTAAAATGACTTTTAGCTTAATCATAGATTTCATGGGTTAAAGTAGATAAATAGTTTCATTTGGTTGTAATTTCATTTTCTTATCCTGCAAATTTCTTCAAAAACTGTTTCTTATAGTCCTCTCACGTGTCAACCTGAAAGCAGGTCGAGCAGAGGTTAACACAGAGTCCATGTTGTGAGGGATAGCTGTACATTCAACAGTGTGCTCACATTTCATTCTGTAACCTGCATCCCTGAAATACTCTTTTTGCAAGAGGAACATTTTAGCACTCTGGTCACAGCGTTATGGAATAGAGGCTTCAACTTTATTCCATATTCGCTTATCTCTCAAGCTCTCTTTGAGCTGCTGTCTGGGGCTATCTGAAGTTGTTTTTTGTATGTCAGCTTTGCCTAAATCTTCATTCTAGCATGTATTTACTTTCTTTATTAGCTGTCCAAATCAGAACAACTGTACGGTATGTTTTAATGGACCTGGATAGCTTTTAGAGGATTGTAAATGACTTATTTCTCCTTATTTTTGACACAGGATTTCCACAGCATGTAGATTGTGACACAGGAAGCAAATTAATCATGAACCTATGGTTACAGAAACACGGAGTGTTTAAATTACATGGTATAAAGTTTCTGAATTGTTAATTAAGTTATTTTAAATGTAGTAATATTTGAGATTTGCTGGAGCGAGCTAAAATCAGAATACCTGTGGACTGACATATTATCACTTCAGTGATTTTTAGTTTTCACTTAGAGGTTTTTTTAAACTTTATTATGCTTCATCACTGACTGATAATGTTACAGGCTGCTGTATGATAAGACTGCACAAGGAATATTTGCTGTCTCTTATTAAATGCAAATATTATAAAATTACTAATACCATCTGATAAAGCCATTACTATTGAACTGGTCTCAAAATTACAGTACTCTTCATCAGGGAGAAATCCTTCTACTATCATTTCTTACCCACCACATAACTGCACCATTCTTGTCTCATCAAAAGGATTTTCCTATTGAAGAACTCTATGCCTGATTTCCTTAGTAACTTATACAAGATAACTGGAATGTTGCAGTGCTCGTTGTGGACTGGAAAGGGGTGTCAGTAATTGGTGAATAATAATATTCTTTATAAATGTATCTGGTTGTCCTGCTTACACGCAACAGCAGGCACTAACGTGGCATGGTCTTATCCAGCCTGTTACTGGCTACAGTTAAATGAATGGGAATATTTTCATTAACTTCAACAGGCTTTGGATCAGGCCCTAAAAAGCCAAGGTTGCTCAAGTGTTATGCCTGTCAGTGTTATAATTTTATCAATGTTCCTGTGCACTGATCAGTTAAAAAAACACTTTCCTATCATTCCCTCATGTCTCTGTTTGTTGCAGAAGCCTTTGAGTCATTGCTTCGCTTTGCTGAGAATCACACAACTTCCCTGTTTGAGACAGCTTACCGAGCTATGGCAAAAGAAGCTGTTGAGCCTGTCAAAGAACTTTTTACAGATCTCTCTCTCTACATTCTGGGTGCAGAAACTACAGTGGAAAGTGCAGTTTTACGGTTCTTCGACAGTCTCTTTCCTCTGGTGTACAGTCGGCTAATAAACCCAGGAATTACAGATCTGTCAGAGGACTATATGGAGTGTCTGCGACTAACAAGGCAAGATATAAATCCCTTTGGACATTACTCTAAAGACATGGTTACAGAGCTGTCAAAATCCCTTTGGGCAAGTAGGATGCTAAGCCAGGCCCTAAATATGGGCACTGAAGTGATAAATACTACTGAACATGCTGCCCTCACAAAGGAATGTAGCAAAGCTCTAGTGAAGATGCAGTACTGTCCACATTGCCAAGGCCTGACACTAATCAGACCCTGTGTTGGATACTGTCTAAATGTAATGAGGGGCTGTTTGGCCAGTGTGTCAGAACTGGATAGACAATGGAGGGAATACATCTCCACACTGGAATATCTGATGAATGAAATGTCTGGGTCACATGATCTGGAACGTGCACTTCCGCGAATCCGGAACTCGGTCAATGAGGCTATCCTGCACGCTCAGTTGAATGGACCACAACTTTCTGCTACAGTAAGTGCTCTCTAGCTGTTTTGATGTTCCCTTTATGGCTTCAGTTATGTGATGAATATGCACGTTATCACTGTGCTGTTTTTGTATACATTGGCAAACAATATCTTTGTCAAGAGTGCATGCAGTTATCGCAGATAAGGTTCAACAGAGGCTTATTTAAAATGAAAGGAAGAAAACTTTGTTTCTTGAGAAGCAGTTCTGTAAACCCAAGTGGGTTTGGTTTCTCGGTGGAATTTGCTAAACAGAGAATCTAGAGAACATTGCATATATTGACGGATACAAATTTTTATAATTCAGGACTCCTGCATGTGCTTTTCAGAAGTCAGTACAGTGGGTTTCTTTCTTTTCTCTCCCTTTTTTTCTGAGCACTTTTCTGGAATCTCCTCTTGCAATCTGTTAAAAGATGGTGTTGGGGACTTTAGGAAAATGGGCTTGTAATGAGTCCATTTGCTAAGAATTGTTAAGATGCTTTCTTTGGTGCTATCAGAATATTTGGGGGAGGCGTGGGGGGCGTGGCATGGTATTATGACCATGAATAAAAAATAGGAAGAAAATGGCAAAGCAGTGAGAACATTAAAGTTCTGTTTGATGGATAGCATTTACATTGGTGAAGGCTAAAAATATGCTAACAGCAGATCCATATTTTTTTATGCAGCAGGATTAAAAAGGCATAACTGGGACATTAGAGTTGCACAGTAAATAATGGCAACACATAACTGACAAGTCTTCTCTTAAAGTGTTGAAGACTGGGCCAGAAATTATTGAAATGACTAATGATGCAGCTGGCTACGCTTGTATGAAGTCCAGCATGGCTGTCAATACAGAAACGTGGCAACTGTGCTCAAAACAGGGTTGAGACTAATCTAGGAAAATGCAAATTGATCCCCTAACGTGAAAGAGAAGGAAGCCACACTGAGTGAGAAGGGAACAAGCTGCACAGATTTAGAAGGTTAATTCCTGTGTTGAACTTTGGTGGCTATATTATTAAGGGGGGCAAGGGAAGGGAAAGAAATACTTTAAAAACTACAGAAAGGGGAGGTGTAACGAAAGGAATTTCATACTAAGCAAGTTGGTGCCAGATGGGCATGCCTGAATGACAAATCCAAGAGTTCCTACCCTAGAGAAGTTAGAGTGAAAATATCAAACTTAGCAAATATTTTCAGTGCAGAACAGATGACAGCTGGAGGGCAGGAGCATAACTATAAACTTAAAAAAAAATCAGAATATGCTATATGATGAAAACTTCTGTTAAATAGATATTTATAAGCATTATTTCAGTCCATGCTCTCTTAGGTTCAAGAGTCAACTTTTCCCTCCATCTCACTTACATTTGCTGTTCTGTCTGACATACAGGGATGAACTAGGAACATTAGGACACATTTCATGAACACCTTCATAGAATGCTCTAAGATGATGTTTTTACAGGGCTATTGTGTAGTAGCCATGAGCTCTGGAACTTTTTTGCCTGATGATGACTTGAGTCCATGGTAGCATCATTGTAAGGTAGGAAACGCTTTGTCCCAGCAGCTTAAAGAATGTATCATTATCAGTATACTAGTATTTACAATATATGATCTCGGTTATCGTGATTTATAGTACACATGTTCTGGAGTGAAGGGGGGGGGTGTCACTTTAATTAATTAGAGCACCTACAGCGTCATGTATATTCAGAACCCCATGCTTGAAAATGGCGGTGGGGGCACTTTAACTAAAGCTTGTTCAACAAACTTTAGTTATAAAGTGCCCCCTGCTGCCATTTTGAAGCACTTGGATGTTGAATACATGTGATAAGGAGGCTGCTGGAGTGTGCTAATTAGCACTCTCCAGCAGACTTGATTAATCAAGGAAATATGTTGTTGTTTTTTAATTGCTGCATAGCTAAAAGTGAGATTTTCTTTTTAGTTGATTGCATAGTTAGCAATGACTAATGGAAAGTTGGCTGCTTTGTGTTATGGGGGGAAAGGGTGAGGTAAACCAATGAAGTGCTTACTATACTTTATTTCAGAGAAGTGCATTGACTGCTTATAAGAAAAAAAAGAATCTATTTGAATGAGCAGTGCATAACTTCTTTATGAGACTGGACTATAGTGATCTTTTCCATTACAGCCGAAAGGATTGCCCTATTCACCTGAATGGTATATGTGAAAGGTTACCTTCAAGATAATGGCACGCGCTGTCCAGCTTCCCTTTATAAACTTGCTATGCCATTTGTTCAGTGATGCTGGCGTGTATTCAGTTGCTTAAACTAATACGGCCTGCCATGAATCATAAGCATTTTTTCCTGTTTTGTCTGCTGGAATCTAATAGTCTGTCATGTTGGTAGGAATCCTGACTGTTCATGATGCCAGAAATATAAATCTAGCTTGTTTGCTCTTGACATAATTTTGAATCTCTACCCCCCCATCTTCCTTCTGCATTTTAAAATTAGCTTTTTCATCGTGCATAAAACTAACAGCATGCTCCACTTCATGTATTTCATGCATTGGGTTTGCCTTCTTGGGGATTGTGGAAGAGTAGCATGTAAACAATTCCTTGATCCATGTTGCATCCCTTCTAAATTATCACTACTTATTTCTTTCTCATTTTGTAGCTGTGTCTGAGAAGGATGGTCTAATGGGAAAGGTGTAAGCTTGGCAGACGCCATATGTGGCTTGTGCAATGTTGAGTTTGCCATCTGTTTTTTTGGGGGGGTGAGGGGAGTTGTTTTTTGTTTTTTGGGGTTTTTTAAAGAAACTTTCCTACCTCAGAGAAGTTGAAGTGTTCAGGTACTATGGTGGTTGTAAAGATTAGGGTATCAGCAGTGTTGAGAAACATAGGGTTAAACTAGTATACCTGAGTTTACGTGAAATCCGGATTGGGGCTGAAGCTGCACAAAGGGGTCATAACCAGCAAGTCAGAATCACATTCCTCATCCATAGCAATTATCCATGTCCATAAGGCAGGCCAGAGGTCAGGATTTAGGGAGTCTAGAGCACATGACAGTGTAAGTGGGAACAAAGTACAGTACTGGGTTCCAAGCTAGGGGAGAGGCAGGAGCAAGTTTGACCCTTGCAACTTGTGCTGCTCTGATACTAGGTAACATTCCTAAGGATACAGATGGCCCTTTAAAAGCTCTGGAGGCCACGCATGTCTACAAAAGATATACTTCTGCCCAGATGGATGTGCTACCCGCTCCCTGACCTTTTGCTCTTTGCTTCTGCACTCACAGGCTGCATCCAGACAAGTGTGGGTGTGCAGTATGTGATATCACAGATATGTCAGCGGCACCATGTATCACTCATTCAGCTGTTCTCTTCTCTGCAAGGGAGCAGTGTGGAGGGTTTTTCTGGATATCCAGGGGTCAAAAAGCCCACGCAAAAAAAAAAAAAAGAAGGTGAAGCAGTACATGTGAGGGCAGTGTGAGCTACTCAAAACCAGAACCTGCCTGCTGGCCAGGATCTGAGCAGCAGGATTGCCACTCCTGCAGCCCCAAGGGGCCTCCAGGACCCCAGGTAAGGCTGCTGGGGCCAGCCCAGTGCTGACCTCAGCCTCCTTTACCTCACCTGAGGTAACCTGTTGTGTTCCAGACAGGGCATGGCACAGGCGTTCCCTTGCACACCGTATACCACTGCTTCATGTCCCTGGGGAACCAAATGTTCACCCTTGTGTGGACGCAGCCATATTAAGTCAATAGGGGAAGCTCCGAGGTGGTGGCAGGAATCGGTCACTCAGGAACCTTATAGATGACTCCTCTTGGACAAAGGAGTTTCAGTTTCATTGTTTGGCATAGAGTTGGGATATTTTTTAGATGTAAAGAAAGGACTTGCTGGCTTGCATCCATAGATGCTTCTCAAGCAAATCCCGGGACGTCATTCTCCCCTTGTACTCGGCCTTGGTGAGGCCGCAGCTGGAGTAGTGCGTCCAGTTTTGGGCTCCACAATTCAAAAAGGATGTGGAGAAGCTTGAGAGAGTCCAGAGAAGAGCCACACGCATGATCAGAGGTCAGGAAAACAGACCTTACGACGACAGGCTGAGCGCCATGGGGATCTTTAGTCTGGAAAAGTGCAGGCTCAGGGGTGATCTGATGGCCACCTATAAGTTTATCAGGGGTGACCACCAGGATCTGGGGGAACATTTGTTCACCAGAGCGCCCTAAGGGATGAGGTCAAGCGGTCATAAACTACTGCGAGACCGTTTCAGGCTGGACACGAGGAAGAATTTCTTTACTGTTCGAGCCCCCAAGGTCTGGAACAGCTTGCCATCAGAGGTAGTTCGAGCACCTACATTGAACACCTTCAAGAGCAAATTGGATGCTTATCTTGCTGGGATCCTATGACCCCAGCTGACTTCCTGCCCTTTGGGCGGGGGGCTGGACTTGATGATCTTCCAAGGTCCCTTCCAGCCCTAATGTCTATGAAATCTATGACTGGCCCAGCTGGATATTTGGATAGAGCTGCTCTACCTGACTTCTGGAAATTTGTGCTGCCTTTGTCTGCCATTACTGAAATCTAATATAAAGTATAAACTACAAACAAATATAGACATGAATTTATCCCATGTCCACTCATTTATCTCTGAACAAGGAATTAATTTCTGTCATTATGCCCAATGGCAGACTTCTTCATGTAGGTGCAGAGCAGACCAAGTCATAAGGACTGTTGGCCCATGTGAGGTCAGGAATATATAGAGATGAGGCTCCTTATGTGCTCCCCCTCAATGTGTGGGCTTCTATAGGGCTAGTTGCAGTCTCATCCTTGATACGGCTGAACATTCAAGTTTTATTTGGCAGTTCTGATAACATTCAGGGGCTGAGGTACAATTGGTAGAACATATTTATGGCTTTGTCTCATGTATCCCAGAAAGTGTTGACCACCAGTCTATGAAACGTGATGTTTTTGTAGAGCCCTTATCTACACTTCTGTGTACACTTGCAATTCTCATGGTTGACTGTTCTGCCCTTTGTTTCCTGAAAAAGTGAAGCCCTTCAGCACACTTGGGTGAAGGTGGCAAGCCACTGAAAC